GGGTTGTTCGGATAACTTATTTTTCGGATAACCAATTATGTACGAAAAAATATATTAATTTATCCCGTGTTGAAATTTCTCTCCGTTGTGTGTCGCTTCCTGTTGAATTTTCGTCGATGTTAAGCCTAACGTAAACTTTTTAAAATAATAACCGTGACTATTGTATCGTTAAAAATTTTTTCTTTATTTTGTACAAACAAAATAAATATATTGAAAAATATAAAAACAATAAAAAATTATACTTCAGAAGTTAATTTAGTATCAAAAACATAAAATATTTGAGTAGCCCAAGACATAGCCAAAGATTGCAGTGCCACAGCACTGGCGAAAATTTAAATTTGCTGACTGGAATTCTTTCAGATAATTGATGCTCTACTGTTGTTCTTTAAATGGTCTATTTTTAGTGTATGAAGTTAAATTTAAAAAAGTAACTTGTAACTAATACTTAGCAAATAAGTATAATAAAACTGCTCAGTTTAAAGTAATTTCAATATATATAACATATAATAAACTTAATAAACTTAAAACTTAAAAGCTTAGTAAAGCTGAAACGCCCATGAATTTTTCTTCAAATATTAAAAATCGTTTTTTTTTTTATGTGGGAACTTGTTTTCAGGTCCAACATGAGTTCAGCCAAGCTTACAATGGAGCAGCTGAATGGTGAGTGATGGGTCTTGATATCTAGAACAGATCACTTTCAAAAATTCCTGGGTTTTTCAACCCAACTAGATTCAATCTCAGATCCTTCAGAGCAGTAGGTCCTGCCAATACTAAAAATCAAATTATAATTTCTACTCTTACTTTTACTTTTTTTAAAATTGTTTCTGCCCTGTGGGCACTAAGAGAATCTTTTTACTATACCCATTGCAGATTCATCCAGGTCCATAATGGGACAGGACCCAACATATTCAGACTGCTCATAAAAAGTTTATAACTATATTTCAATTTTCAAGATCGAATTCAAGATGCTTGAATTTGATCTTGGATCTCACAGATCATTAGGCTGATGTCTTAACCACCTCAGTCATTCAGTCTCATGCTAATCTGTACTATGTTAATCTTTTTCTGATAAGAAAAAAAATAATGCAAAAAAAAAAAAAATGCAAACAATTACTTATAAACTCTTATATAGATGAGTGATGTGTTGATAAATAAGTAATGTTGAAATTTATTATTACTAAAACTATAAGTATTTAAATTAAAGAAGAGAAGCAATTTAACGTTATTTAACAGAACTTTGAATTCAATAGCACCAAAATTGATTTATTAAAGAAAGGAAAATAGCAAATTTTCCTTTTTGTTAATGAAATTTTATTCTTGTTCAATGATAAATTTTTTCTAATTTAAAATACTTTTTTAAACAAACCTGACTAGAAAGAATTTTCACAGCTTCAGAATGCTTAGCATTCCTAAGATCAATTCCATTTACTGTCAGAATTGCATCTCCAACAAAAAGTCCACCATTTTGTGCTACTGGAAGACCAGGATGTATATCAGAAATAAGAATTGGCACTCCATGCTCTTTTCCACCCTAAAAATCAGCATTTATATGTTTATATAAAGCTAAAAATATTTCAATTTTCAAGATGCCTCTTTATTTACTTACAGTGATAGAGATTCCTAAACCTTCATTTTCTCCTTTAGTAAAATGAACTACTCGTCTATCACCAATTCCTTGCTTCCTTTTTAAGCTTTGGATATCCTTTATTTAACACAATAAACATATTTCTTAATAATGTTGAAATAATAAAGGTGTGTAAAATCTATATATCCAAGATTATATAATGAAACCTCCTCCTAACCATCCTTTTAAAGCAAGTATCACTTATTGTAATTAACTAACTAAGTGTAAACTGCCTTCTATATATAGACTTATATTTGGTAGTGATCTTTCTTCTATTCTTCTCTGATAAATAAATTTTAGTAGAAAGGTTTGTCAGCTGTTTCATTTATCTAGATATTTGAACACCAGAAGAGAATAGAAAAGAAGAGACCAGTGATTTATGGAACATTTATTTCCTTTAAGATGACCTTTTACTCTTAAAGGAAATAAATGTTCATTGAAAAAATTGCTTTTCTGGGAACTGCTGATTTCTTATGACAAGCTAATATCATGGACTATATATATACTGTATAATGCATGATAAAAGATATCAGATGGAGATTATCAGAATCAGTGATTAGCATAATTTTAAAATGAATCAGAGGATTGGAGATTGCCTCTAGCATTAATTTATGAAATATATGTTCTGAAAATTAATGCTTTCTTGGAAACTGAGATGACCAAAGGAAGTTTGCTGACTGAGTTGTTGCAGCTTATCAGGTTGTTCTCAATCTGACAACAATTAGCATGCTTTTAAAGTGAGGATCCAGGTTATCAACTATGAGTGTGAAATGTAGGGATTCTGGGATTCTACGATAATAAAAATACAATAAAACAAAAGGGTTAAGTTCAACAATCAAGTATGTGAAATCCTGTTCCACATACAAGATGGAAATGTTAAGATAAAATAAAAGAAAGATTTGTGAAATCATTCCTGTCTGTCCTGACACCAGTTGAGATAATTTCTATTGCATCTCAACTTTCAATTAATCTCTATTGCATTAATTTCGTGAATTATTTAAAATACATGGGCTGATGATGGAGTTAGGCATTAAATCCACTAAACAATGAATAAGCATACAACTATATATTTATTTGGTAAATTTATAACTATTTTATATGAAAACAAAACAATAAAACACGATAATAAAAATACAATAAAACAAAAGGGTTAAGTTCAACAATCAAGTATGTGAAAATATTTAGTTCTAACTCACTAAGTCTATCCTGACAAGAGAGAGTTTACATAAAATAATTATAAACCTAGTATATTTCCATGTTTGTCATGGAGAGTTGAGTGTCCTAGGGATGAGCAGAGGTGGTGAACTGGGAGAGGTATAAGAGCATTGGCTAAAGCATTGAGCACCAAGCAAGAGCATCAAAACAAGAGCAAGTTGAAAGGTGACCTCTCACCTTTTATGCTGAATTCTATCCAATAGAATTATTGGAAAAATCACATCACATTTCTGACATGTGACAGAAATCGGTCAGTCTTGAGGACAGAAGAGTGAGACATCACACTCAAACTATCACTTTCAGAGGAATTAACTGAATGCTTGAATACTAGTTCTAGTGGTATGATTTAAAACCAAACCATGGCTGTTGAGAGAATTACAGTCTTATTTCCCTTAACAATGCATAACAGTGAGTGAGGTATACCTTCACAAAACTATTGTGTCAGGATTAAGATCCTGCTTGATTGGAGTCAGTCTGCTGTCGACCACTGGCACATTTGAACCAGTCACAGTTTCTTTATCTCGATGCAATGATGTATTATGTCTCTTTTGGCATATATTACAGGAGCTCTTGGAGTTGCAATTGGATAGCTTATGCCAATTACGTAAGCAATTGAAACAGAGGTTGTTTCAGCCACAACATCATTTCTTTGAGAGGTTTCCATCATAAAAGGGAATCACAATTATAAATAGGATGATTCTGTTTACATAAATGCAACAAGACATAGAATTGTTACATTTCACAAACAAGTTTTTTTGGTTTAATTTTATCTTGATTACACCTTGGTTTCATGAACCTGGCCTTATTAATATATTCTAAAATTTGAGAACACTTTTTCAAAAATGGAATTATCTAACTTAGGAACATCATTCAAACTGATACTGAACTCATAATGTTTTAAAGTCTCCTTATCCAGTTTCTGAAGTACAATGTTTAAAATTAAGATATCAGAAAGCTCATTTCTTTCACATCCCAGGACTCTTAGAGCTTGAATATTCCTATTGACACTATCAATTAAACTCATGAAACCCTTTGTTGAGTTATAAGCTAGTTTTACAGGGTCCAGAATTTCATTTAACATTAAAATGGATTTTTACTATTAATTTTTTGTTTTCATATCTTTCTTCTAGCACTTGGAACAATGAGGCAAATGAATCATTTAGCATTTCTAAACCCTTAACTTCTCCTATTAGAGCAGCCTTCAAATAATGTAATTTTTGTTCTGCCAATAATTGCTTGTTTGATGAAATGATGTTATTAAATTGCATTTTAAAGTTACTCCGTTCTTCATATCTTCCAGAGAATTTCAGTTGGGAATATTCAGTAATTTAACATTAGAGGAGCATTTCAAGCTACTGGGCCTTCAGCCACCATTCCCCATGAATGTATCTGCTTCTAATCATTTAATATGAGACTGGATCTTAAATTTACAGCTTATAATTTTGTCCTCACATTCTTCACTATTGACTATCTCACTGTCAAAATCAGTTGGGTTAGTAATGAAACCCTCAATTTCCCCATTTAAGGTTCTCAATGACTCTTCCTTTTGACTCAACTGATCCAATATTTCTAAAAGAGTTTGTCTCTTTATTGTTGCTTTCTACTAGATTATTGACTTTAGTAATTAATTTCATTACACTAGATCTCACCAAAGAGCATTTTTTCTTTAATTTCTTGAGTTGATCCATTTTAAAACTGTCTGTAACATATAATGGATAGATGAATTCCTCCTACCTTGTATAGATGACTTAATGAAGTTTGAACTAAATTTCATTTGTTTGTGAAGTTGTTTATTTTTCCTTCTTCACAATATGCCTTAACAGATCAGATGTTTTTCAATCTTTAGTGGACTGTATCAAGAATACACAATTGCAATTTGCAAATAAAAGTTTAATGTGGACTACAAAAACACCAAATACACTGCAGAACATGGGACCATTACACAAGAACAAAGGAAAAACCATTACAGGGATACTTTCAAACCCACAAGTTTTAAATTTTTCCGTTACAGATAGATGGTGGCACTCAAAGTGCCAACATTTATCTGTAATGGAAAAATTATGTTTAACTTAAAATATATAAATGATAAATTGATTCATTGAAAATATTTCTGCTTTAATTCTAATCATCTCAATTTTATTGGTCTCTACATTGAAGAACACAAAGGATTGTGGGCTACCTACCAACAGAGAAAAAAGTAGAATAGAACTTCTATCAACTTTACTTTCTAAACAAAAGAGAACAGAAGTATATCACTCATAATGTGCAAAGTGTTGTATGCTAAACCTATTTATTATCTTTTTCTCTTCTCTTTTCCATTGTCACAAAATATGAACTTGTCATATACAAGAACATGAAAGAAATTGATAAAAAATTTGAGCACTTCAATGAAAATGATGAAGAAAATGATATTGTGGCTGAAAGTGACACCAAACTGAAAACAAAAAAAAAAAAAAAATCTGAGGTGATAATCAAGAATGTTCTATACAACAAACAAAGCTGAATATTATTGGGCTAGAAACAGCTATAATACTACAGTAGAGCATCGATTATCCGACTCAATTGGGGACTGGGGTTGATCGGATAACTGAAAAGTATGAAAAAATACATTATTAGTATAGTATATTAATATATCCCATGTAATTAGTATATCGCTATTAACCTACTTCGAGTTGAATTTTCATCGATGTTAAGCCTAACAAAAAATTTTTTTTAAAATAATAATTGTTGCTATTGTATCATTAAAAATTATTTTTAAATTATTTTATTGCTCACAAAACAAATGACCACTCATAATTAAAAAGAAAATTAAGCCTTGTTTAAATACTAGCCTCTTGTTCATGGTCGAGCCAGTGTTTCCAGCTAAAACAAGCAACAATTTAACAAAAATAATATTAAAGTAGCCAAGACATAGCCAAATATTGTAGTGCCACATTACTAGCAGACATTTGAATTTGCTGACTAGAATGTGGTCAGTTAACCGATGTGATGGTTGATCGGAGGTCGTATAATCGATGCTCTACTGTAATAATTTAAAAGACAATTTGGCATTAAAGTTAGGTATTAGGTGCAATCCCTTGTTAAATTTAATTAAATAATTTTATAATTACAGGAAGAAAAGAATATTAAATTTATCAAGAGATGGTGCATAACGCCTAACTCTAATGCCAAATTATCTTTTAAATTATTAGTATTATAGCCATTTCTAACCCGATAATATTTGGCTTTGGTTAGTGTATAGCATTAAACGTATCGGGTATAGTAATGATGTTTGATCAAGAATGTTCTATTACCAGTGAATCAATTAAACTGAAAGAAGCACATTCAGACATTGCCCAGAAAAAATCATTTGCCAGAAAACTTGGCAATCATTCATTGATACAACATGAAAACATGGTAATGGTCAAACATCTGAAAAGTCTAAAACAAATGCCAATAGCAAGTTATTTCAAGTTGACATGATAATGTAATAACATTTGTAAAATAAACACAAGTTTTTAAAAACTATCATAATTAGTGAGAGGATTGGGAAAATATTTTTTTTTTTTTAGAAATTCCATTAAAATTTTTTGTTGCTAAGCCTAAAGTTGCTATTTTTGAGGAGAGGTTGATATATCATCTTCATATGATTCCTTAGTCACTGCTTTCTCATAGTCAACTCTGAAGAAATATTGTCCAAAAATCCCTGATTAAACAATCTCAGCTAAGAATACAACAGTTTTGGACAGTTTCATCAGTCAAGACAACTTTTTTATGATAACTTTTGATGGTAAAGTTAAAAGGGTTTCACTATAGTTCATAAATTAACTAAGCATAAAATGTATGGATTATTATAATTACAAAATTAAAACACATGAATGAAGCTGGAACTAATTAACATAAATATCAAAACACCAGCCACACATTTCCAACAGAAAATTTATTAATTTGATATTTTTGAATGTTTTTGGTTTATTTTATAAACCTGCATGTAACTGCAAACTTATAACATTCAAAATTGGAACATTAACTCATTATATGATATTTCACTTTATAAAATAAACTGAAAACATTAGTCCAATTGATAAATTTTCTGCTGAAAATGTGTGGATGATGTTTTGATATTTATATGTAAAAATAATATGCAAAATCAGTATAAAAATTTAAATTTCAATTTTAAAAGATATTGTTAAACTTACATGACCAGGTGGATAAGGTAATTTTTTATTTATATCTTTATGTCCTCTGCACGCCTTAATTACTGTTTTATGTCTATGTAGATGAATTTCTGCTTCAAGTTGATTCCATAAATGAACATGATCATTTCCTCTTAAATCCCTTCCTAATAATTGAATCTGCTGTATTCTATTAAAAATTTATATATAATTTATATATTTTTCAATCAACATTTAAAAAATATACTTAAATTATAATTTGCAGAAATAATTTCTATTAATTAATCTAATTTTTGTTTCTCAAAGACAAGATATAACCAAAATAGTCTGTAAATTGCCCAGAGAACTAATAATAGGGCCCAATTGGGTAAATTTTTGTTATGGTTAGATTACTGAGTGTAATGTAAAATGAATGCAAAATACATCCAATAATAACAAAACAAAATTTTATTGATTATAAAACTATACAAGAATGATCTTCCATAGAAGTTTCATGAATACACGTATATAAAACCAAAACTTAAATCATTAGTCAAACTCAAACTGTCTAAATTATTTTTAAGCTATATTATTATGGACTCAAAATTTGAATCTCATTTGAATTGATCTTTTCTTTAAAAACTTTTCTAAATTATTTTGTTAAATTCAAAGATAATTTCTAATTATTAATCTTTACACAAAAACAAAGCTTACCCATCTATCTTCAGATGAAATTCTGATTTTTTTACTTAAATTTTAACTTCAAATCAGCCTAAGAACAATCTGGAAATTTAAGCTTAAATTTGGTTCCAGAACATAAACACACAAATGGTAAAACTCATTGAAATAAAGGTGGACAGAAGTGAAATCAAAAGATGGGATGAATCAATCTATACCAGGGTTGTCCAACCTTTTTCCTAATGGGCCAAATTAGAAATTTACATATATTCAGTAGGCCACAAAGGTACTTTATATAAATATGCACTTTTTAAAAGTTCAAAATGTGAATATCAAATTTTAACAACAGATATATAATTACAAAAAATACTGTATTATTGGCATTAAAAAAGAAATTTTACTCACATGAAATAAACAAAAATTCAATGCAATTTTTTACATTGCTTTCTTTTTATAATATTGTCAATATCTGTTTTTATGGTACTAGCTTTAATTGTAAGAATGTTAGTTAAATGGGAATCACTCAACCTATTTCTTTCAGCAGTTTTAATGTTTTTCATGCATGTAAAGAATTGTTTACAACAATATGTACTACCCCCCATATGCACAACAGTTTTCTACATAAATTGACAATTTCATCAAATTCATTGAAAAAATGAGCTACTTTATAAAATTCAAGAAAGAAATGTTCTCTATGATAAGTTTTCAAAGATTCCCTGCTTTGAAGTTCAATGACTTCTAGCTGGTATTCGACTGGTGTTTCCACATAATTAAATGAAAACAGATCATTATACAATTTTAATTCAGTTTCTATTTTTCTGAAGTCAGAAAATCTGGTTGGGTCTATTTTTTAACAAAACTGCACATAATTTACTATATTTTTCAAAGTTCACAGGAAATTCTTCTTTTATTTTTAATAAATTCTGAAAATGCACAATTTCCCATGGCAATTTTATCATGACAAATAAAGACAGATAGTATTGTATTATTGCATATTTTGATTACAAAATATTTTTCTGGCCAAAAATAATGAATTGAATTTTTTTCTTCTGTTATTTTTCTTTTCTCAGTATTAGATGCCGTGACCAAATGCTGGGTTAGTGAAAATATAAATTTAAAGTTGATGAAATAATTATGAATATAATTGGCGGTTGAAAATATTTACCTAAACCTGTATTATATACCTGTAATTAGAAAGAATGCCCAGTGGAAGGGACTAATTTATTCTTTATTTCTTTAAATAATAAATTAGCCCCTTCCACTTTAACATTAAGCTTAGCCTCGAGTCACTAAAAATGGCACTTTTTTGAACAGAAGAATTATGTGTCTTTTTCATCCTCCTGGTGAAAAGTACACATTTCTTTATCACTAACAACATCACTTCATTACAAAAATCTTTGAAACTGAAACAATCAAAATGACAGATCATGCCACCAACTATTTTGATTGGTCACAGTCAGTTACAAATTGTGTCACCAATTTTGTCATTATCACATCAAAGTGTATCCAGTGAAACGAGAATAATTTTTACGACATACTTTACCAACATAAATGAAAATGTACCTAAAAATTTAGGGTGCAGTGAACCGCATAAAAATATTAAGTGGGCCGCGAGTTGGACATCCTGATCTATACTCTAGTTTTGGATTATTATATAACTACAGTCGTCAATTTTTGTAGAAATTCTCTTCTTTTATACTAATATATACAATTTACAAGTTTACTATTAATTTGCAAAAACAAAACTTTAAAAAAAATTTTTTAACCAGACATTTTTTTGATAAATTCTCTCCTAAAGCTGACCTTCTCACAGGTAGTGGCAGAATGATCTGACACTATTTTCAGCATGATATGAAAAATACAGTTTGTCGTAGTTTTGCTTGAATTCTGTAAAAATAAATGAAGTTATTGACTTGTGATAACAGATCAGAACCACTTTTATTCCCTTCCAGAAAACAGGGTGTAATTTTAATTGTCACAGTTACTTCATAGAGTTATGTAAATATATGTTAGATTATCTGATAAATTCTTTATTCATTTCACTAAAACTTCTATTGAATTTATTCAATAATTTGATTACTTCAAATTTAACTATCAACATTAGGAAATTTTATACAAAAAATTAATATACAATCAAAAATTAAATTCTTACTTTTTAACTTCATGACCAAATATTTCTTTTAATATTTGATAATTATTAAATAATGTTTATATAATCATTTGAAATGTAACTTTCACTTGCAAATTCTTAAAAATCTCACCTCAGATAATAAACAGGGTTTAAAAAAAGAAACAGTAACATAAGTCCTGTACAGTCAGACACATGTTATGTTTATTTACTTTTTTACAAGTAAAGCACAAAACTGAGTACAAAGGGACAGATTCAAGCTATTTTGATGATCAGGAGTCAGCATGAAGCTGCCAAAGAGTTCAAAAGGCTTCATCTAGACTAGTGGTGTGTAAACCATGGGTCATGACCCCTTTGGGGGTCATAAGAAAATTGTTCGGGATCGTCAAATTCAAAGAAATTTATTTGACAAAAAATATAAGTCTTTCCTTCAACAAGTATCAGGTACCAGTAAAATAGTGAAATGAAATTATATTATTTATAAAAATAGAACTATATCTATATCTATATAAAAACGGATGTGTATGTCCCTATATTTCACTTTTCCGCCAAAACTACACATCACACGTGAATGGTGTTTGTATGTGGTAGTAGCCCCAAGTCTCCATTCGTGCACTATGGTGGTTGCGTCTCAATAGCTATAAGGGTGCGGGAGATATGGGGCTGAAAGTGGTTTTCTATTTCGAATGTTATGTTCAAATTTGTTTGAATTTAATTCAAACAATGTTCGAATTCAAATTCAAACAATATTCGAATTTGAATTCGAACATAAAATTCGAATATTGGTTCGATTATAGAACGATTGTAAACGTTTCAGAAACATTGAAAATAGTTCGTTTGACTGGACGTGAACAGGAGACATTCAGAAATAGAATCGGGATCAGGTCTCTAATTATTCTGGAAACGGGGGACCTAATTCTTACATTCTGTGAAAACGGGTAAGATTGGCTATAATGTAATTATCTTAATCTTCACTATCGTTACTTTTTGCCTACAAATAAAAACCCAGCGAAGCGGGTCCTTGCAGCTAGTTTTTTAATAAAAACAATTGTCTGTATTAGGTACACAGACAGAGGATGACTTAACTCTTGTGATTTCCAATACAAATCCAAACATAGAAGCAATCATGAGCTCTTTGCAAACACATACCTCACATTTAATTCTTATGATGTAAAAGTTTTTTCAAAAATATTTTTCATTAAATAAATATTCATATCCACATGCCTAAATAAAACTATTGTTTCATAAAATTATATGTTTTATGTTTTATTCAGACCCCTAATAAGGCAGAAACATAAGCACAAATCCCAGAAAGAATTTCACTTTAACTACGTTGACGATAAAAAAATGTCTACTGGCTATCCAGGAGTTGTGATAAAATTTTACACAAAATGGGGGGGTCAGAAATGAAAATAGTTTGCACACCACTGATCTAGACCACTGTATGTAATTGGTGGGAATCTAGATACTGCCTGTTAAACATTTCTGCAATTTTACACTGACTACAAACCACTATCAGCACCATGTTTCACCTGTAAAAAATAAACATTAACACAACCCCAAGAGGCCAGACTTATGGGACACCCTGTATCTACAGCAGAAATAACAACAATTTAATGGAAATATTTCTTATTTTAAGAAAATGGGACTAATATAATTCTATTTATTTAATAATTTTCAATATATTTTATATAGTTTAATACATTTAGCAAATAAATTATTTTAAATATGTTTATGAAGTAGCTTTATTCTTACCAATAACTGAATATTCATCTATCAAATAACAAAAAAACCCCCAAAAATCCAGTAATCGCAAACTAATTATTGCATCTGTAACTATAATTATTATTTTACTGATGTTTTGAATATGCATCCTTCAATGTTCAAGTTGTTTGATATTTTGAATATATATTTCTTTCCAAGTCTTCTCTGAACATTAATATTTAAAAATTTGTAATATTCCACCTGTATTTTAGTTTATATTGTTCTATTTTTCTGTTCCTTTGTAAGTTGTAATAAGGATCTGAAGGTGTTTTTCAGTAAGACTAAAAACATCTTCAGATCCTTCAAATCCTAAAAATTAATGTTTTTGATCTTATTGTCAGTTTGTGACTGCTGGACTTTTAAGATTTAAATGTTTTTGTAATTAAATTTCAGTCACAATTATATATCATTTAAAATTTAATTTTTTACCTCCCAGCTAATTCTTTATCAAGATATTTAGCAGCAAGACGAGCACCATATAATTCATTTTGTAAAGAATAAATATAACTTCTTAATTCTTTATTTTCTTTCCTAAGTTGAATTACTTCAGCTTCTAACAATGCTTCCCTTTGCGAATTTTTACGATATTGTTCCATTTCATTTTCCTGAAAATGAAAAAACTTACAATTTATCTAAAAAATAATTTATATATAAATGTTAAATACTGTCACAAAACAAAAATAATTTTATGAAATTATGTTTAATTTTCAACAAAAGTTTACAGTACAGATAAATTTCTTTCATTTACATAAGATAATTTCTTAGAATAATTTGTAGTATGCTTCAAAAAAAAAAAAAATTATTATTAGTAGTATAGTATATTAGTATATCCCATGTAATTAGTATATCGCTATTAACCTACTTTGTGTTGAATTTTCATCGATGTTAAGCCTAACAAAATTTTTTTAAAGTAATAATTGTCGCTATTGTATTGTTAAAAATTATTTTTGAATTATTTTATTGCTCACAAAACAAACAACCACTCATAATTAGAAAATTAAGTCTCGTTTAAATACTGGTCTCCCTTTCATGGTCAAGCCAGTGTTGCCAGCTAAAATACGCAAAAATTTAACAAAAATAATATTAAAGTAGCCAAGACATAGCCAAATATTTTAGCGCCACATCACTAGCGAACATTTGAAATTTGCCGACTAGAATGGTCAGTTAACGAATGTGACGGTTAATCAGGGGTCGGATAATCAATGCTATACTGTATTAACATTTTTTATGCATCCCATATATGTGTAAAATATTTAAAATAAGTTTGGGAGGATTTACATTAACCAAAATCTAGACATGTCTTTGAAGATAACACGGCACTATGTTAAAAGCACATCAAATTAATTTATTAATTTTTGAATAAGTCAGTAGTTCAATAAGATTGTATGGCTAGCAACAGTACAGTTTAACCTGTTAAAGGCAGGTTTAACTGACAAAAGGATCAGCCAGCATAAGTGAGGGATGAGAACATGCCTAAATTAGTGTTAAAATACTAAAACTGTAAATAATAATATCTAATATTTAATAGTAAATTATCAATAACTCAATATGAAATTATATTAAAATTTTTAAGATAAATCTACCAATTTTTTCTTGATTGTTCGTGAGTCTTCCACATGGCCCATTTGAGCTGTAACTTGTAATTGTGCAGCATGAAGTTGAAGCAGCAAATTCTGCAATTCTTTCTCTAATACAATGCGTGAAGCTTGTGTTTCACACAAATCTTGACGTAATTGAGCAAGATCAGCCTAAAAACAGACATTTTATATTAGCGTGTTGTTATTTTTTAATCTCAAACATTATACAATAATTTCATAATATATTCATTAATGTAATGTTAGTTTTATAACTACTATAAATTACAGAACTAAATACATTATTTAATTTAATTATTATTAATAGTTAAATAATATGTTTAATCATATTTTACTTTAATTTATAATTAGAACAGAATCTTACTCAATTGAACTAAGTGAGGAAAAGACTAGTCCAAATTAGCAAAGTTTTTACTCAAATGTGTATTGTATAGTCCAAAAACTATACTTTATTTAAAGTCAAATGTTATTGTGCACTTTAAATGAACAAATATAGTGGATTGATAAACTTTTACAATGCAAAATAAGCAGTCATATTGCTGTTGTCATCACCAATATTTATTAATTTCAATTTAAAGAAGCTAATTTTTGTTTGCAATTTTTTACCAGTATAATTTTTCCTTGATCACATTTTGATATATCTGTCTTAGAGTAAGATAATGGTTATTAAAGCCCACATTAGAGTTGACAAATTCATTATTGACAAGACAATGTCTTGTTTATAAAATCGTACTGCCGTTTTATGTTACCAGCTTAGAGGTATGAAGGAGTACATGTTGAGAGTTGATATTTGGCACAGAGTATTATGTGCCCAAATCATTTGCGCATAAAAAAATCCAGACTTGTAGGTAGTCAGGGGACCGAGAATCAAGTCAAAATAAAATACAAAATGGCGACCCTCTTCTACAAACAGGCAAAACAGGCACCTCACCCCACCAAAGTTAGGTGGGGGAGAGTACCACCCACAGTCATTCTAAGAAGTGAACTCTGACCTTAGGACTGAACATGCAGTTTCTTCTATGTTAAATAAAATTTGTAATCTAATTTTGTAAATTTGGGAGTGCTTCAAATATGATGTTAAAATGGTTTTATGTCATTAAAAATGGTTCTTAAGCTTCAAAGACGGTGAATAAAATCTTGCCCCAAAAGCATCCATACATATAGAAAAAACCCCTGAATTTTTTTTCATCTCTTGATGTTTTATGGTCCAGAGTCCAAAAATGTAGTAGTCTTGGGGGTCATTTTTATGACCAATTGCCATACTCCAGCTGTTATATATAACGGAACCAGGAAAGTAATAATATATTTTAGATCCTGCAAACTGCCAAAATTTACCACAAATCTTCTATTCTGAATACCGGTATTTTGAACAATCTCATACTCATTTAACCTTTATTGTCCGGTGCGCTTAACCATTTGTAAAAACAAATGTTTTTGCCTCAGTTGAGGTCTGCTTCAGGTTAAAAGAACAATCGGATTCCACTCTTAGAACAAACATTTAGTTTTAAAATATATTCAAACTTATGCACGTGTTACGTATAGTCATCGTTTTCTTGTTCTTCGCATATGTAGCGCCAAGCATAGGAAAGTGCATTGTCGTCTTTCGTGTTTATACATCTCCCTGTCCGGCGGGCTTTGTAAATATCCAGTGCTTCAAGGGTTCTCTGATGTGGTCTGTATGAAAAGCTCTATTTATTAATCTGGCGTTGGATATGCCACCGACCCAGACATTCATGCAGAAGGCCAAAAATGTTTGTTTTTATGAATGGTTAAGCAATACTGGACAATAAAGGTTAAGTGAGTATGAGATTGTTCAAAATTTACCCTTGCTGTGTCATAAAATGCCATGTCTTCTGTACAACTTAGTTAATTTAAATGCCAGTTGCCTTTATTAATTTGCGTCATACTATTTTAAACAATAGAATTTTCTGTTGTTTTACCAACAATTATTCTTTGTGAGATCCGAAAGGCCCCTGGGCCTCATTTATAAATTTTTATTAATATGTTTAAAATATCGACAAAATATTATTTCATTTTGTGTGAAAAAACTAGTGTTTTAGACGTGGGAAAAATTGATGACCAATGTTATTTCCTTTCATCGAGGAGAACATCCGCTGTTTTTCCCATATCTAGTTAAAAATCTCGCTCAGATGGGAAATGGTTACCCCTCATTCATCCCCCTTTCATCCGTTCTCACGAAAGAGTTACTGAACGATGATTGGACGAAATTTTGAGATAAAAGGAGAAATTAGTCAGAATTCGAGGAGTTCTCAGACCGATTTGAAAGTGCCCAGACTCCACATACGTTCCGAGGAGGTCAGCGACGAGTTCTTCGACAGACCCGAAGCATCCAAAACTCCACATACGTTTCCTCCCGATGGCCAACGCCCATAACGGAGTCCGATAGACTAAGTCCCAAGTCTACATATAGAGGAAGTGATATTTTTATATTTGTGCATGAATTGATCTCCCATACGAAAGTAATATGAAACTCTATCTACAAGGTGTCCTTTACCTACAGAAACGAAGACGACGACAACTAACAGGTCGTATATTTATAATCATTTGTGAGCTCTCTCTCGAACGCGCATTAGCTTAGGTTAAGTTGTAACCTTTAGCTTATCGTATTATCGTTGTATTTGGTTATTTGTATTCGTTTGTTTGGATTTATTAAATATACTCTTGTTTTATTTTATAAGTATGTCTCCTCTATTTATTCCGAATCAGATCTCCTACGCGTGTTAATCCGCATGTAAACAATTGATTAACTGGTGTCGGGAACCTGACAATTGGGATAAAGACCTCACAGTCGAGAATTCCCCTTTTACCTAAATATCACCGCCCTCCGGTCAAACAAATCTTGACATAAGATCGGATCTTACGATTCGAAACTAAGGATACAGATTTCGGTTAATCTGTGCCGATTAAGTGGTATGAACGATCCTAAACGGTGTTGTACCCCCGGCTGATCTCACATCTTTAATATATTTTTTTAATTATTATTTCTATAAAGTATTATTATAAATCACAGAACAGATATGTCAGAGGACTGCTTAGAGTGGCCAACAACAGAGCAACTAGTATTTTTTTCATAAACATCATTTATATGCCAATCTGTAGAATTTTAAAACCTTAAACACTAACATATTTTAAAATTGTAAAATATAACTGTCACTCTTTCTCAGTGATCATATCAAAACTTGGTCACTCTGCCCTGAATATCAAATAACTTTTCATAAATTTTAATAACTAATTTGTCTTAAAATATATATATTTTGCTTCAATTATCATATAAAAAAGGTTTAAATTTTTAGTTACAACTAAATTTATTCATATTATTTGGTTTTTATCATTTAAAAAAAAAAATGTTTAAATACAAAGCAAACAACATTAATAAAAGAGAATATTTATTTCTAACTTCACAAAATACTCTTTCTACTATACAACAAACTATTCCCAGGCATCTAGGCAAGGGAAAGCTAAAGCCTCCTCTGAATTATTGCTGAATTATTATAGAGTGAAAGCCAAGGCAGTTAAAGCATTAGCTATGGCCACTGCTGAATAAAATTTGAGTAATGAGACCCCTTGAAAGAAAATTCTGGCTTTGGGCATGACTATTCTTCATTTATCTTATTTAGGTATAAATTTGCATTCATGTAAAAACAAAAAATAAGAAAATCCATAAAACTACTTTATTGGAAAACTAAGCTAAAAATATGAAAAACAAATAACAATACTTTAGAGCTTCCCTTATCATCAGGAATACTCACATTTACTAAATATTACAAAAATACTTTTAATTATAATATTGAATTATAATACTTAGAGATTGGTTTTGACTTTGTTAGGTGAAGAATCATATCCTAAATTTAAACAACATTAGTCATAAATTTTGTTAATTAGCCTGTACAATATACTTCATTATAAAAAGCTTTTCATTTAGAACACAATGATCTTTTTCTGATATTGGTTCTGATAATATAATACAATAATGATCTATTGTTACATTCATCTCATTCATTATTTTCTTTGAATAGTGGACTAATTAATTAGAATTCTTATATTTTGCTTCATAACTATATTTTCAAAATTGTTTGTTTTAATAAGATAAAAAACGTTTCAGAAATGAGATATATACATATTTCAGAACATTCTATAACATATTTTTCTAAAATATCATATAGACTATACTACTGGTAATATAATATTCTGTTGCTTACAAGATGAAATAAATAGTAATGAGAAGCTAGTTCAAAAAACCAACAGAAGGATTCAAAACACTTCAAAGTTCTATCAGATCATTAAATATCTGATATGGAACAGTGATATTCCAATTCAGATAGTTGCAAAAAAACTGTTTATTGATTACTACAAACCTGTACTGACACACAATTAAAATACAAAGCTTAACAAGTACACAAAAAAGTCATGGAGATAAAATAGTTGAGAAATATGCAAACAACAAGAGATTAAATTACAAATTCAATGGTCTGGGAAGAACTGAAAACAGACAGCCTAATTAACAAAATGCAGTCAGCAAATATCAAATGATATAGTCATGTTAAGAGGATGGACAACAAGAGAGCATTCAAATCTGCTTGAGATGAAACTTTCAAGACTACAAGCTAGATACTGATATGGATTGGAAGATCAAAAAAGATATAGAAAAGAGATAAGAGACAGAATGGAATTGAAAAAGAAGCATTATTGAGAGAGAGAGAAAATTAATGAATATTACCCCATACCTGACTCTTTGATGAGGACATGAAGATAATACTGTATACATAGATATAGTCTATAGCTTGACAATATAGAAAGATTTCAAACTCAGCAGAAAGCACTTCCCATTAACAACAATTTCTATTATCATCATCATCAATAAATCTAAATAAATCATAGATATTTATTCTTCCCTATTACAAGGGGGTTGCAGTTAAATGTTTACTTGTTTTTACTTACAATACTTTTTGTTTTTAAATTTACACTTAATTTTCGCGAATACATTTACATATTCTTTAATTTTGAAACTTATAATTTATTATTCTATTTCACTAATACTATCATATTTTGATACTACATTTGTATTAATNTTTTTGTATGTTATTCTTCTCAATTATCATAGCATTTTCTAGTAACATTAACCATAATAACTGAGGTTTCCCTGTATTTAATACTATTGTTTTAATACAATGAAAAGAAAAAAATCATATATACTAATTCCAAAATTATTTAATTTATTTAATTTGAAACAAACATTTTTGGCTCTTTCATAGGACTTCTTCAGATTTTACACCGAGTTTTACAAATTAAAGTTCAGTTTCAAGAATGCACTGGTGTTTTAAAATACAAATTTAGCATTTGAAATAATATTTAAATACAAATTTAACATTTAAACCTTGAATATTGTGTAATGTCCTTTGAAAAATTTTTTTAAATATTGCTGGAATTTACTATATATAGTTTCTTCTTTTCATTCTATTTTTGTTCCAGTTTTTGCAACTGTTTAGTAAATACTGTTTTAAAAAGTTAAAACTAAAAAAAAAACTGAAGTAAAAAGGAAAAAAATTGAATTTTATTCAAAAAAAAAAATACTTGACAGCAATTAGACAATTATACAATCCCTATTAATCATTCTTTGTTAATCTACTAACTTTACAATCATATCATCCTTAATAGAATGTTAAAGTAGTTATAATTAACCATACAGTTGGAAGATATAAAAGGAAATGGTGTCATTAAGAGAATGGTCAGAAGTAGAACTTCAAAGATGCTCTTGAACAAAAAACAACAAGAAAAGACACCCAAAATTTGCAACAAAAATGGAGAGCAGGTCACTTAGCCTAAGAATTCGAACAGGATAATGATGACAAATTTATAGTATCAGTACTAAATTAGCTATAAGCACAAACAGATCTATCTTGAAATAATTGTAATTAAAATTTTCATGCATACACTTTCTCTCCTTTATATAGTAGTAGTAAAATATTAAAATCTGCAATTAAAAGCTGAAAAAATATATATAACATAACAAATTAATTAATTTTTATCTTTTTAATTTGCATTTCTTGAATCTTTTTGCTCACATATCACTTTCTGTTTCCAACTTATCATAATCATAAATGCATTAACAACTTCTTATCTAAGCAAGTGAACTCGATTAAAATGTAACTTGATAACCATTAATGTTAAGAATTTTAAGGAAAAAAAGAGGACTAAGTTGCAACAGGAAACGCTATCTGATAAATTTGTCATTAAACCTCATTAAAAATTGCAAAGGTGTGAAACTTCGAATATGTATTTATGAAATCTGTTACAAAAAATAAATAATTAAAACAATTTTCTCACTCTCTATATTTAGTATATTACAGTAAGACCTTGTTCAGTGTTTCCTCGATTAACACTAATTTGATATAATGTGGTCCGTTCAAAGCCTAAAAAAGGCTCAAAATTTATGCTTATTCAAATTATCGCTGCATTTCATTGATTCATATATATTATTATTATTCCCAAACACGAACCAATCAGCAAAAGGTGGCAATTTGTCATAGCACTGTACTTCCCCTAAATATATGTTTGTTTGGTGCAATTTTGGAAAAAATATATCATCATGGATGCCATAGGCAATATCGTCTTTGCTTGGCAAGAATTAACTGATAAATGCATGAACAGAGTACAAAAGAAGGTATGGCTGGAGATATCCAAGGATTCTCAATGAGAAGAGCCTATTCTTGACCAAATTGTCAATCTAATTGATACAGCAGGATTAGGAGATGTAGATGAGCAGGATATTGAGGAGTTACTGCAGGTGTTTGGTGAGAGCCTTACCAATGACAACCTTCAAGAACTAGCAGAACAAGGAATTTATGTAGAACTGGAAAATAGTGATTTTGAAAACAAAAAACCCAAAGAATTTGTTACAGATATCCTCAGTAAAAGTTTGGTAACAATAACTGAAATCATTGATCAAACTGTTGTGAGTGATCCAGATTTTGAAAAAAATGCAAAAGTAAGATGAGGCATTTTGGATGCAATCTCCTGCTACTACTGACATTTTCTTAATGAAAGATAAAGAAAGCATGACAAATGACACTAGACAAGTTCATCACAAAAAATAAAAAAAATCAAGAATTTCAGAAGAGCCGGGACCTTTGTCACAAAGATGAACTTTATATTTTTGTGTGCATGTTATTTAACATATTATTATGCAAATTAATATAAAATAACTTAAAATTAAAGTAAAATCTGTATTTTTGGCCACATGATCCCCTTTCCCTATTTACTACGGATTAAAATAACCTTGTTTAATTAATTCTGTTTCATTTAGTGCTTTGTCATCTAGGAATGCATCCTAAACAAAGTCTTACTGTATTAGAATTTCAAATCAAACATTGAGAAGAATCTCCCACTTTATAAAAAAAGGCAAAAATGAATTTAATATAATTCCATAAAAAAACTGAAGATTTAAAAATTTAAATTGTAATGAAATTTTTATTTCATTACAATTTAAATTTATGATATGTATTATTACTGATTAAAAGAAACTTTAATTTATATTACTTTCAGTTATATTTTTATATAAAAATTTAAATTTTGAGGTCCTCTATGCCTAGGACTGGAGTCAAATAGTCTTGTCAGCCTCCCTCTATGCAGGTTTGAATTTACTGACAGTGCAATTACATTTAAAAAATAATTTTAATAATCAAAACATTCAAATTTTGGAGTTTAATTATATAAAAACAATAATATTTCATGTTGTCCTGACACACAAATTGTTACAAAAGTTAACTTGTAAAAGCCTAAAACTTTTATTCTTTCCTAAATAAACAATATTAATGCAAGGAAACACACTTTCTATAAATATTAGATTAATGATTACAGTACAGTCTCAATTATCCAGTCTTGAGGATAGTGAATCTGAATAACAAAAGTCTGGATAATATGTAACGCCCGCTGTATTTAGAAACACAGCGTTAAATAGACTTAGAAATGAAACAGAAACCTACAAAAAAATCTCCATATAAAGTAATAAGATTGAAAAAATGAATAATGTTTTTAAAATAAAATCTAAAAGGAAACAAAAGCTAGAATTATTACATTAAAAAATTAAGAAAAAGAATGTATTTTGATAAAATTGAATTATACTTTGTTTTTTCCTTAGATTTACTAACCTTTTTTTAAACAGTTATGACGTCTAACAAAAAAACAAGTTAAATAACCTGAGGCTGGATAATCGAGATTATCGGAGTTTAAATTTTTTTAATTAAAGAATAAACTCGTCTACTTTTTGAATCACTAATTAAAATAATAGAATTAATTAAAATCCTTTCGATCTTCGCAACTTTAAGGCAATTAGTGAGAGGCAAATCGAAAATTCAATACGAAAGAACTTCCAAGATGGCTGATATTTTTTTTATATTATCGTATATTGTCTACAGAAGATTATCTTAAAAGTCGGCTCAAACACTTCGCCCGACACGTCCCGAATCAATTTATGTGAAATTATTCTTAATCTAAGCTGACGAGGTTGGTTGAGAATGAAAAGCAAAAACTTACTTATGGGCGTCGAACTATTTATTATTGAAACATATTTACATATTACAGGCTTCCTGGACCGCTACAATTTACAAAATACGGCTAAGATCCATCGTAATCTGTTTCGGTAACTGGATAATCAGCATCGTAATCGCTGGTGGTTCCATTAACATCCATCATGCGTCCGAGTTGATCGGAATCGTTCGTAAATTCCTGAAAATCATTGGCGTCTTCGAATCGAGTTCCGTTTTGCATCGCCATTTCGGATAATTGTTTCCAATTCTTATGTCCAAGAGAGCATTTGCTGACGTGCTTCCTGATCTCCCTTATCGTTTCGTTCTTACAAGATGACGCGGCTGCTAATATCTTTTCTAGAGTCGCAGCTAGTTTAATCCCGTTCTGTTGTACTTCGGCTCCGATTTTATATACGTCAGAAACCGATCTGTTCCTCATTTCTAATACCATCTGTTGTAGAATGTCGTAAATTTGAGTCTCCTCTTCCTGAATCCGTTTACAAGTGCTGATAAAAGTATTTTGAGCCACTAGCAAAGTAGCGAAGCTGGTATCGACGGTTGATCTCAACTCGGTCACTTTTTTATCCAAATTCCCACTCACGTCCGCTAAAGTAGCGTGATATTTGGAGCTTTGTTCTATCCTGTCTCGCTGTTCTTGACGGAGTAGACTCTGACTCCTGTTTCCATTTTCCAGAACTTTAATCAACAGCGATTTCTGTTCGTCCGAATTCCTCTTAGATTCCTGAATGCTGTTCATGAGCTTTTTTGTAGATACTTCAATATCCGTATCCAATTCTTTAAATCTGACTTCTTCCATTTTAACTGATTTCTCGACTAAAGAAGTTAAACTTTCCATCTGTTGCTGAAATTGCGTTTGAATGCGCGCTGAAGTTTCGCATCGAGTGGCCAAACTTCTACTCTGGCCTTCTCCATTGCAATTAAAGGAGATATTATTCACTGCCACTGTTAGCTCCTTGTGAAATCTATCCATTTTATCACCCAAATGATTCAAATTGTTCTTCGACTTCGCCTCCTCGTCTATCAGAATTTTATCCACATTACCAAGTATCGTCACTGTATTAGTATCCAATTTATCCATCCTTTTCTCGAATAAGTTAACCAATTCTTCCTTCAAAAATATTCTTAGATCGCTAACACTGTTAACCACGTCGTCGACTTTCAGAAACTTTGACAAAACTGTTGATTCGAACTGCAGATGCCTGTCATCGCTTTTTACTAACTTTTCTAGTATATCGTCAACAGAATTATGTAAATCTCTTTCGAGTAACTCCAATTTGTTAGTTATTCTTTCCATTTTTATATCTATTTTGGCATCTAGAAAAGCTGCTTTATTATTTAACTTATCATTAAGATGTTCCATTCTTCTAGATAGATGTTCGTTGGAAAATTCTTCCTTAATGTCTTTACCTATAACAACCTCTTCCACTTTTTCCATTCTTAGATCGAACTTCGTTTCCAGTCGTCCTAATTTAGTTTCTATATTTTCCAATCTCCTTACCAATTGTTCTAGCGAAAAGTCCAATCTAGCTAATTTCAACGTGTAGCCAAACGTATCTAAACCACGCAATCTATCGTCTATAGAAGCTAAAACATCCTGAAGTACTTGAGGAACGTGAATCCATGCATCTGTAGTTAAATCCAGGCCTCGAGATTTATTTTCATCGTTGCTTTGTTTCTCTCGCAGTCTTTGTATTAATGAAGAAGAGACAAGAGTATCCATACAACACGCCCATAGGACGAAGCTAGATACCAAACGTCGGACATGCATGACTCCAGTAGAGATCCGTTCGAGCAAGTGCATATAAGCTTTAGAGGTCACGTGTCGGCCAAGAGAACGTGTTTAGTGTCACCCAGAATGACAGACTCGAGTGTCTCGAAAGGACAGCTCCTGCTTTGTTTCATCTATCATCAGACATAAATAAATAAAATGTTAGTGATTCTGAGAAGGAAACGATTCTCTAATGTTAGACGTTTAGGTATTTATAAAGGGTAATCTGAACTACTTCGTGACGTGATCATACAGAGAAAGTAGACCTACCTTCCATTTAACTGGTGGCAAGGTCATTTTGTTAAATATTATGAACAAGAAATTATGGAGATTTACAAATCGTCCATTACTACAATTTAATAAAGCAAGTATTTTAATATATTGTTCATTAAAATGTCCTAAGATAATATTTTAACTTAAAGCTGATTTGCCCGGAAGGGAAAATTGAATAATAATAGCCTATATCAACATATCAAAAAACACATTAACATTTTATTAAGTAATTATACATAGAATTATGGAACTAAACTGGTTAAAATTCACTTCAGAACTAACACAATTTGTACAAATAAACTCGGAATAGATGTATTTAATTTATATGAAACTGCAATAAATTCTTGGTACAGGTTCAAAAGCAATGCAAGTTAACGATTTTTCAAAATTAAATTGTCTTATACAGTATATTGTATAAAACCTTCTTTCCCTTATTTCGCGTGGGCAATCTTCCAAGCATTCAATATAATCAACATTGCCATTTGCCAGACCTTTTTCCAGCACTTATCTATAACAAAATCTCCACCTTTCCATCCTTCGTTTAAAAATGAATTCACAACCATGCGTTTTTTAAACATAAAATACACTTCTTTATATTATTTTATATATATATATATATATATAGATGAAGATGCAATGCCTGACTCTCTTATCGAACTGGACGTGAAGATACTTACAAATCTTAAATTTTGGTGCGTGTACATTACCTGAAAGTTTGTTTATGAATGATAAAATCTAAGTTGTTTTGTTTACTTCTAATATATATATACATACATACATACATATATACACACACACAAACATATATATATATTTATTTATTTATTTATTTTTAGAAGTAAACAGTCAGGCATTGCATCTTATGTAAGGTCACAGAGCTTTAATGCAACGTGCTGAAAATATAAAAATGAAACGATATCTTGAGTGAATATTACTTTATTCAATTCAAATGTATTTGCAGATACGTAAATAGAACTCGATTATGGAGATTCAGTTCCCAAAAAGACAGAATTCGCTTCTATAAGGAAACGTAAATAGCATATTATTAAATATAAGACGGACATTGTACTTTCATTGCTAATGGCAATGTTATTTACAACCTCGATTCTGAAAAATTCCTGATGCAAAAGAATAAATCTTTCAATCATAATTCGATATTCTGCTTGTCATCTTTTCATCTGTCAATAAAAGATCGTGGGATTAAAATGTAATAAAGTGATCATTTATTCACAAAATCTTCAATTTATAATTACGAATACTACACATTTATTTTCATTCAATTTAAAATTCTAATGGCATAGAAATAAAATGAAACTTGTGGAATTTAATGACGTGAAATGCTGCTGAAAGCGAAGGTACGAATTGCAGAAAACTAGAAAACTGATTGAAAACTTTGATTCTAAATATTGATTAATCTTTTAGCTTATCATCATTTCAAATTCTAGAAAAATATTCCAAGTATTGCTCAAGAATTTATTAAAATAAGTTAATGCTGACCCACAAAATTTTGAAGTCAAGATACAAATTAAACTGAGATAATAAACAGTCAAGATATTTTAACAGTTATGTTATCTTTTTTTTTAATATTTTACGAAAATTTAAGACTAAGCATTTAGTTTTAGAAAGTTCTCTTTAATTTATTGTTGTTTAATTTAAGCTCGGATATGCTTAAACGAAAACGAATTCGTCGTACAAGGGCTATATGAAATACTGTACCATATAAACGGTACCGTACAGTACATATAGTACAGTATTTGGCTATATCGCACTTCAAAATAAAACAGATCCTAAGAATAACCACACTTAAGACAAATGAAAAAGACACTTGTCTGTGTTCACTAACGACATCTGCTTCAAACATACTTTAATCAATCATAAGATATTTATTATTATATTTTTAGCGAAAGTATTTATATCACGATATTCTATACCTGACTTTTTTAAACAAGTGAATGGGATCATCTAACGGCGCTTGGTATGGTCGATTGACATTAATTATCAGAAGTATCTGTAGCTATTATTTAAACTGCTTCAACTACTAATATAAAAACTGATGCAGGACCGAAATAAAAATATCAATCCTGAATCCTAAATTAAATAAAAGGTGTGTTAAACGTTTAAAGCATATGAATGCTGAATTAATTACAAATCATCTTTATTATTTTTAAAAAACCCAGAAAATATAGCATAACAGAACTTTATTTCCGTCTTTTCTTCTCCAAACCTTCGATTTCTTAATAAAAATTAGACGATGAAGTTGAGAACACTTCTCACATAATTGAGAACAATGATCGAAAATGTAGATCTATATCAATGGCACAGCAATGAAATTTTAAATCACGTAACAATAAATATTTTAATTATAATTATCTTCTGAAATATTCAGCAATGTTACGATTTATACTGTTAATAAATTATGAATAATTGTGTATAGATCGTAGAACATATTAGTTGACGTCTGAAGATAGATAATACAACTGTCTTAATTAACGTACAACGTAATAAAATTATGAGAAATCGTATTATAAAGTACAAGATTTATTCGTGAAATTCGAGAAAAATCGAATAATAAACGCTTTCACAAATCAACAGGTTCTCGTTTGTCAGACATCTGTTTACAATTTCTGTCGTTATAAATAGCTACTGGGAAACTAACACGTGGATACAATACAAGTAAACGAACAAATACACTAATGAGTTGTATAACTTTTTTAAAAACATCTCAATTCAGACGAAAATAAATCATAAAAACGCGACTGTTTTTTATTGATTATATTACAATGCAGTAATCAGTCAATCTAAAGTTTTAATTAAGCCAAATAGAAGGAAGGTTAAAAAGGTCCTAGAAGGACACACCAAAAACTAGTCTTAAATTAAGTAAAAGTTCTGCTTTTTTGTCGATTTTATTCGTACATTTTCTATAATTTTCAGAAAGGAAGCGAGGTCTCACATTTACGATCGGCCTTAGTCCAAATCTCATCTCATCCCATCCCATCCCCCACTTCTGATGTTCTAGAAACATTATAAAAATGAATTTCTTCTTCAATAACTGAAATAAAAGAAAAACATTTATGTAAAGCTTCAACAGAATTTTGAGTTATTCTGTCTGGAAAATCAATTTGCACGTCCAGCGTTAAATAAAAATTTATGAATCAAACTGAACTAGATAATTCTTTCAGTCCTGTTATTGTTATCTAAATATTTCTCTATAAAATTATACATTTAGTATTGAAAAAAAATATTCAAAATAAGCTTAAAATGGAAAATTCCGCAAAATTCTTAATACAAATCATTGAACTGAATTGTAATAGTTTTACATCAAATAAGCTTACGTAATAATCAGGAAATTATAAACTGGCTGTATATAAGCCATAAAATCATTACACATTTCTTATTTATATAATTTTATTATTCATATAATTATAAAAATTACTTTGTGAGCAATGCAATAAACATTAAAACCTGTAAACTATGTAAACCGGAACTGCACAGAACAGAATATTTTTCCAGTTTGACAGGTTTCCGTTTTATTCAGGTTCCATTTTAGACAGGTTTTTTAGTGTATATTAATCTATGCCAATTTTCATAAGAAAATTGTCATTAGGCTGCTATTTACAGATTCAATAAATTCCAACTACTATTTTTAACATGTTCAAAATCTTGAAATATAAAACTATCGTATTTACTCGTATATAAGACGAAGTTTTTATAAATTTATCACAGCTTCAAATTCCTAGATCGTCCTGTACGCGCGAGCGAAAGATTCTTTACGTTTTTGCAAATAATTTTTGTGAACCGTGTACTGTATTCACATTTTTTAACCGGATGCTTACCCTCTTGTATTTAAAAACATAAGTATTTTATCTGGGTCGTTTGAATCGTTCTTGTATATTGTCAGGATAAAAAATGAATGGCAATAGAAAAAGCAAAGCTTTTAAATTGAATTCCAGATTGAAATTCCAAAATCACACGGAAGCCCGAAATAAGTTTTAATCCATTCCCACGTGAAAACAGATGATTATTTTGAAATCAGAATTTGGAAAAACTCATAAGTATAATCGACAGAAAGTGGATTCGACTTTTAAGAGTTGGCAAAAAGGTTCCGATTGTCCAGCTTTGTTAACAAATTATGCTGTCGATTTTACAAGATTTTTATTTAAATTTTAAAATGCCAGTAATTTTTGCGGGACAATGTGGACATTTACGTTCATTTGATATTTTACTTGTGATTAAACGAATAAAAATTAGAATTGTATTAATAAATCTAATTTTCTTTATTTTGATCTTTAACGTCACACCTCGTCCTATATGCGAGTAAATACGATAATTTGTAGAATTACTACTACTACAAAATTATCAAAAATAATTATAATTACACATTCAAAACTGAATATATTCCTGTTTGTGTCTCATTAATATAATAAAGTATGAATGATTCTACTAATTCAATCATAAAAACAGCATAGTAAAAGCATATTCTAGAGTGATGCTCATTCTCCTTCAAACTAGAATTTACATTATAATTTCTGTTAAAACTGCTTGTAATGACCTACTTATAACTTTAGTAAATCTGATATTAAGCTAGAAAATCTATTCAGGAAGAAGTTAAAAATAAAGAAAATAGTAAAATATGTTATTCATAATTCATTACTTGTTTTAATAAAGCTCTAGAGAACAAAAATAGAATGATTAAACTCTAAGAATTGTTCTAAGAATCTAATTTTAGTATAAGCTTTTTCTTAATTAACAAATTTTGTACTGAACATTGAAATAATTCTTTATTTTATAAATTTTTCAACTGAATTACTTTTATGAGTAATTAAAACAATGCATCGTAGTTCAATTTTCTTTCAGGGAAAAGTATTTTTTTTTTTATCATCAAAATATAAAATTTTTCCTACTTTATAATTAATTCTATTGTTAAATTTAAAACTGTTCATTTAAAAAGTTTAAGTCAAATACATACATAATCACCTTCACTGAAGTTTAAGATAAATCATGTAAATTTTAATTTCTCTTACTGCTAAATGACCTGTGGCACATGACATAATTTAGTCACCGTCATTCAATGACGT